ATAATTCATATCGGTTGGGGCGTTGGAGGATTCAAAAACTGTCTGCAGGCAGCAATGGCTTGCAAACCCAAAGGATGAAAGACCTGAAATAGGAATAAGGATAGTAAAATGATATGATCAGTGTAAATAGAGATTAAAGAATCTTTATATACATAATATAATTATAAGTAATGCTTAGCTATAGCAACACGCAACGAGCGAGATAGAGAGAGAGAGAAAAAAAAAATCAGTAATTACCCTTGGTGTCATATTCAGGATATTCAGAAGCAACTGATAGTGGTAACGTCCCAGTGCCCGAGAATATATAGCACTCTTCTCATGCGCTGTTGCAATGTGAATGGCGAGGTCAGGCAAGGGGAACTAATTTTTCTTTTTTGTTTTCGAGTGTTTACCACAAACCCGGGCGGGGCTGAAAATACCGAAAAAAAACCTTGCACATCTGTGATATTTCTTTTATAGATATGATCCAACACACATGCAGCCCACCCATTTATACTCCTTCACAAAACCACATACGTGTGTATGTGTGTGCTTATTTCCCGTAAACATTTTTTGAATTCCAAAACATAATAAATGGAACAGAAAGAGATAATACGAAAAATTAAGAAATTATTACACATTTGATTAATAAAGCTTAAAATGTCAGTATTCCCTTTTGCCATTTCTCCAGGATTACTTTAACTCTGGATTTCGCAATACCAACGATGTCTGGACTGCAATATGCCATTTTGATTTCATTCCCTGTTTAAGGGTTATTTTTTTATGATCTTTACTTTCAATTAACATTAGTATTCTTAATCGTTTGTCCTATCTTTTAACATCACATATATGATCTATTATACATACATACTATTGTATATGCAATATATATATATATAATATATATATATATATATATATATATATATATAATATATATATATATATTATATATATATTATATATTATATATATAAAACTAATTAATATATAATATTATATGATCTATAATATATATATATATATATATATATATATATAATATAATATATATATATATATAATATATATATATATTATATATAATATATATATATAATATATATATATATATATATGTACATATATACGTATATTCATAAAAATAACTATACATGTGTGTACATACACACACACTCACACACACACACACGCACACACACACACACATATATATTTACATTTATATGTGTGTGTGTGTCTATGCGGGCGCGTGAGTTTACATGTTAGTGTGTGCGTGTATAAACACTCACACGCGAGGACACAAACGCATAAATACACATACACACGCACACAAATACGCACACATATATGTATATAAATGTACTATTATATGAAATTCAAGAATTACTATGTATTATATTATATGAAATATATATATACATATATACATAACATACATGTACATATATACATGTATGTATGTATGTTATATTGTAAGTAGAAAAGTAAGTTATAGAATATTATTCCTAGCGTGGAACTTTACTAACCTTTTCCTTAAAACAAATAATTCTTATTATTCTGGTCATGTATCAACTGTATTCCGAGAAGCAACTGTATTCCCAATTTTCTCGGTATTAATTATTCATATAGTTAAGGTTAGGCAAAAGTCACTATTCAGTAGATGGAAAACTTTTCTTAATTAACCACTTTGCTGTCCTCCGCAGGTTTCACCTATTATTCGCCATTCGAGTTTAATGCCGAGATGCATGACGTTTATTTATATATGCGTGTCTAGACATTATCCGGATAGAGAGCGCATCAGTAACCTCTGAAACTACCTATCACCATGATGACCATCAAATGTTGCAAACTTCCCCTTCATATCACTATCACTACACACTAGAGATCAAGTATCACAGACACTATACTATCCTGACCAGATCTCATAACACCTAAACACTACCCATACACAGCGACCTCTAAGCAACACATCCACATCATTCTACTCACAACTCATCTACATCACACACACACACATCACTAACTATTCAGCGTCTTCATCCTCCTACGGTCTTAGTAATGCACCATTGCCTGCATGCAGAACAGCTTTGATTACTCTTATGTAAATTACTCAAGGCCACCTAACAGGTAGCTCCATATTCAGATAGTATGGAATGTTTATAGTATATATATATAATATTATAATATAATATATAATAGATTATATATATATTATATATATATTATATATATTAATTTATAATTAATATATTATACATATTAACATATAATTGTCATATTATTAATATATACTAATTAATTATCATTCTCTATATATATACACAACATAAACATACGAATATTTATATTTATAATTAATACATTCGATAATAAAAGTGATCTATTCTATTTTATCCAATTTATAGATGTGTGTTAATCTGTGTTTCGTCTATCTTAGCATTTATTACTTATGTCCGTGTAACTTTATATCCATGTATAATAGCTAAAATAAACTATAAATTTGTCTTAATATCATATTGAGGTCAACGCTCCTCTACCGAGGAATTCCTTATGAGAGTCCTGATATAGTAATCTAAAAGTACTGAATCATCCTATAATATGATGCTGCTCGATCACCGAATGAACTCTCAGGCATAATCAATAACACGGTACTACCAGGGAAAGCCTCACGTGTACTCACGTGAGTACAGATAAGACACTTTCATAGATATCCTAACTGTACGTGCACCT